TATATATATATATACATATATACATATATATATATATGTGTGTGTGTGTGTACGCGCGATATATCCAATTATTGCTTACATATTAATTCTAAGTAATTAGACTTTTATTTTCGCGGTTAATAGTTGAGTTAGCTCAAATCACTTGAAAACTAGAAAATCATTAACGTGCAATACAAGATATCACTTATATACATCGACAACAACTCATTTTGCACAAGAAATCCAACATGCAACAGCCATTCTTGAAATCACCAAATTCTTCGCCTTGATACCCAAAAACACCAAGTTCAATTATCACCTTTTCAAATCATACAATTCAACAACATAATTATAACTATTAGCATCCATATCATGCAATCAAACAATCCAACAAGCACCAAAAATCTAGTTTCCCTTACCTTTAATCCAAAGAGAACCAAGGAAGAAGAAGAAGCAGAAGTTGAGCTCCAAGCAACTCTAGAAAGCTTCGCATAACACCAAGGCCTTGATTCTCAGCTATGAGCTTCAAATCACACCCAACAACGATCCTCTATGACTCTCAGGAAGCTGAGAAGAAGAAGAAAAGTTTTCAAAACTCCAGAGTTTCTCTCACAACTCTCTCTCTTTAAAGTTCTTTGAGAAATAAGCTTATGAGGTTCAAGTCTAAAAAAAATCTTACATACCTTTTCCTTAGGGTTAAACTGGATCTCTACCCAAATAAACACTCTAACCACCTAAAAACTTCTTAGGAGTTCCTTAACTCCCAAAGTCTCTCAACTACACCTCAAAACATCACATAACACAAAAATATTGGTAAAAATACAATAATTAAGAAAAATGTTAAGTGTTTCACACTACAACAAAATTTTCATACAGTGATACACACCCTATAGTGACACTATATATGTCACTAAAAATTACTTTTACCCACACAATAACTACAATATATGTTGGTATATTATTAAAAAGTGTGGGTATAAACTATAGTGACACATAAAATATGTTGTTAAATCTCATTCAAAATCAACACTAAAATTATGTGTAACTATATGCCAAAAAAACATATACCTACATATACTACACCAAAAGTGGCAATAGATAGCGCTTAATTAATAAATGATGTGTTTTAAAACATAAAACATTAAAAGAACGCTTAATTAAATAAGCACCATAATAAAATTTTATATAGAGAGCGCTTAATAAAAAAAATGTTATCTGTGTTATTTTATTTATGAAAAAATATGTTATAGAACTTTTCTAAAAAAGGGCTTTCTAAGAAAATTAAATAGATAGCGCCTGTGAATAGAAGTATCATTTATAAAATTTTATAAAAGGTTGTATATAGAGAACGCTTAATAAAAAATACTTTTTTGTTTTATTTTATTTATAAAAAAAATATATTATAGCACTTTTCTAAAAAAATATTTTCTAAAAAAATAAATAAATAGCGCGTGTGAATAGAAATGTCATTTATAAAAGATTTTATAAAATTTTTATATAAAAAGCGCTTAATAAAAAAAATTATTTTTGTGTTATTTTATTTATAAAAAAATATGTTACAGTGCTTTTCTAAAAAAAAGGGTTTTTTAAAGAAAATAAATATCACTAGTTCGCTTGTTGCTTTTGGTTCAGGCCTTTATGGTTTTGTGATTTTTTTTAATCCCAAAATTGAATTAAGGCGAGTAAATTTGTTTCATCAGGAAGTATTAGGGTGTACTGTCGAGTAAGACCCTTCTTTCCTGGACAATCAAACCATTTAAGCGCAGTGGAAAGTATAGACGATGGAATTATCACAGTTAATATTCCTTCAAAGAATGGGAAGGGACACAGGTCCTTCAATTTTAACAAAGTCTTTGGACCATCCGCAACTCAAGGTTGGTTTGCTTTTTGGTTTCAATAGCCACCGGGATTTATATTTTTGTTGGGATAATCATTCAAATTTTCAATGAATATTCCAACAATATTTTTAGTGTAATTGAAAATCCTCTCTTCTGTTGCAGCCGAGGTCTTCCTAGATATGCAGCCACTCATTAGATCTGTTCTTGATGGTTATAATGTTTGCATATTTGCTTATGGCCAAACAGGATCTAGAAAAACTCACACTATGGTAGGATCGATATCCACTTGAAATTTTCTCTGCAAACAAAAAAAGAATGAAAACTTTAATGATTTTTTGTTGATTTATGTTTTCAATATGTAGACTGGACCAAAAGAGATCACAGAGAAAAGTCAGGGTGTAAATTACAGGGCTCTTGGCGATTTGTTTCATATAGCAGATCAAAGAAAAGACATTTTCCACTATGACGTTTATGTTCAAATGATTGAGATTTACAATGAGCAAGTCAGGGATCTTCTAGTCACTGATGGAACAAAAAAAAGATATCCTTTTACCAGTTATTTGATTCTCTATTGGTTTTTTATAACCTCAAAACAACATTGGCAAGAAAAGAAGGAGAATCAGATTATTCTTTATCCAGCAGCTCTGAGAAATACAGGACAAAGGCCAGTGAACTATCACCTTATCCTGACAGTGGGAATCAGCTTGGATACCGACGACCAATGGTTGAGGTTGGCAACATTGAAGTATGTATACTTCTTTTCCTCCTAGTTTTCTTATCTATTAATAATTAATAATACAAAGAGAAGAAATTCTGTAACAATTTTCTTCCCTTCAAAACTCTCACCTCCTTTTCCAATTGAAATTTCTTCCAACAAAATCATATCAAAAATATTATATTATATAACTTCTAATTCAAATCATAGAAGTTAGAGAAGATTGGTGTTTATATGTCATTAAAAAATGTTTGTAGGTTAGTATGTTGTGCTATAGCATTTTTAGGCCATGCCACTTTTTTTTATGCTATTTTTTTTTATCTTTATATATTTTTTTTTTATATTTTATGTAGTTGGTGACTTATGATTTTTTTTTCTTTGCAAAATCAATGGGCTGTGGAATATTCTAAGAGCGAGAACTACATGATATTGGACAAGCATTGATTATATGTTACTATCGAGTTAATGTCAAATAAATAAATGTAATATATGTTAAGTTTATTTACATTTCCTTTTTTTTTTATTTGAGTCTAAGACTAGGATATGAATGGTAATGGATAAGCATTGATTATGTTTAGATATATGTAACTATTATTGCAACAAACTAAATGTAATACATGTTAGGTTTATATAAACTAATCTTTTAATTTTAATGTATACATTATACATTATATTTTTGAATCAAATTTGGCTACATTCTTGATTGATTGGTATAGTTCTATGTCTTGGGATTTATTTTTGCATGCATAGCAAAATCAACAAGTGTCAATGATGTAAAAAAATTATTAAAAAAAATTAAACATATAGATAGTGTTTATATAAGGAAACACTTTCTATTGGCTAGAATATCAAAAAACGCTTTTGCTACAGGCACTTTCTATAAGATAAATCAAAGACAACGCTTTAACATAAAATGTTGTCTATACATTCAAAGATAGAGAGCACTTCTTTGAAAAAGCATCATGTAGGTACTTAGACATAGATAGCACACTTAAAAGGAAGTGCTTTCTATTTGCATATACATAGATGACACATTTTTAGAAGCGTTATGTATTAATAATAGACATCGTTCAAATAGAGAGCGCTTTTTAAGCACTGTCTATCATTAAAATAAGCGTCATCTATTGATGTTTTTGACATAGTGATATATTGTACTTATAGTGACACTTTTTGTATGTCACTACATGTAACATTTCTTGTAGTGTCAATATGTATGTGTGTGTAATTTATGTTATGATTTATATTTTATTTATTATTTTTAGTTCATATAAAATGAGTGAGTTTTGATTTTGGTTCCTATAATTTTTTTTATCCACCTAAAACTTATAATTCTTGTTTTAGGTACTTGAGAAGTGAATAAATTTGATTTTGATCCTAGTAAAACATTTCTATTTGTTTTCCATCTCTAAAATTTAAACTCATTATTTTTTGTATCTAATGATCATTTTAAGATAAATAAATAACATATATTCTAAAAATATATAAATATTTTTAAAAGTATCAAATATTGACATGATATCATTAACGATTGTAACTAACATCTAACATGATCACTAAACGATTTAATAAATAAAAAATAGTTAAAAATCATCACATTAGAAATAGACTAAAAATAATAATTTCATATATAGAGGATGAAAAAAATTTAATAGGACCAAAATCAAAACTTCTAATTATATAGAGATTAAAAAGTTATTTAAGCATTTACTTATTATTTTAATTTAAATTATATATATTAAAGATAATATATAAGTATTAAGATATTATTTAGTTAATTTGTTATTAATAAATATTTTAATAATATCTAAATAAAATATCTTTTTTGAAAAGTATTATTTATTATATTTAATTAATATAATGTTAAAATATGTATATTAAATATATGATTGCTTTTAAATAAATATTATTTATATTAAAAATTTATGATGGAATAACTAATTTATTAAATTATTAAAAAAATAAACATATATAATTTATTTTATAGTTTCTATATTATTTATTATTATAATAAATTAATTTAAAGTTAATTATATATTTTATAATTTTTTAATTAAGTGAGCGAATAATAGTGAACTAAAAATATTTTAACTAGAAGTATATTTTATGAATAATTAAATTAAAAGTATATTATAAAATCTTATAATAATTATTCTTTAATGATGTAAGTTAAATATCCTAAATTAATATAATAATAGAATGATGATATAATACTTGTATCTTCAAGGATAAAAGTATAATTTAATTAATATGGTGAATATTATAATACTTGCTTCTTTCGCGAATGAGAGTGGTAATTTACATTAACGACGTTAAGTTAAATGAAGTAAATTAAATATTTTAACGTCAAATTTGATGATAGTGTAGTACTTTTATCTTTCAGGAAGAATAATGTAATTTAATTTCATCCTAAATTTATATTTTTTTTAGAAATTACTCATGACATTGCGAATAACCATTGGGAGTTGACACAAATGATTCAAAATCTGGCTCGAACATGTGTTTCTTATGACATTGGTTTGAACTTCGATGATCATTAAAACTATTTTAGTGAACATACTAACTTAAAGAGTTTCCTTGACTTTAGAGGTGAAATTTTTCTTATTGACATTTATTTGCTCTCAATTGGACGAGTCTTTAGTTAAATTGGTCATTATTGAATTTCAACCAACTATTAAATAAATAATTATGTTTAATCTAAAGATTTTTGACATGTTAGTAACTCCCTGTCCAATAATCTTGGACATCATAACTTATCTATTTGTTTACTATAAAAAAAATCATTATTGATATTTTTACCTTACTATTTGCAATCTATCCCCATTATGAATAACATTGTTTATTTTTGCATTTTTCTATTTGTTTGATTTATTTATTTATTTCACTTTTCTCTTAAACTAACAACTAAATTTACATACTTATTTATCCGTTTGTTTTATTTCTCTCCATTATATCTGTCGTCTTAAAGAAAGTGAACTACTAAAATTTATGTATATATTGGTCAAAATTTACTGTTAATATGATTGGGTCAATTTGGTTAAAATCCTAAACCCTAAAATGAATAATTTTATATATTTTAAAAAAAGCTATTTTATTTGTTTCTTAATTTAAAAAAAAACACTTATTATAAACACATTTTTAATTTAAACAAATTGACTCATGATCAAATTTTGACAAAGAAATGTTTAATTTTAGGTTAAATTGGACTTTTGATTCCTATATAATATCAAATTTACAAGTATGGTTCTCTATTTTTAAATTCACAATCTTAGTCCCTCAATTTTATTAAATTTGCAATTTTAGCTCTCTAGTTGAATGTTCATATGTTGATTGTTAAAATTGTAATGTCTATATTGTCATAACATCATACAAATAACACAATAATTAATATTTGATAATATTTAAACTAAGTTACACTTTTAATTCTCATTTCACCTCATTTTATATATTTTTATCATTTTTATGATATAAAAATAAGAATTAAAAGTAAAATTTAAGCTAAAATTATTAAATATTAATTGATATGTCATTTATTTAATGTCAAATTATGACTAACATTACAATTTTAATGATCAATAGATAAATATTTAACAAGAAGACCAAATTGTAATTTTTATAAAATTGAGAAACTAAAAAGTGACTTTCATAATAAAAAGATAAAAATTACGGATGCAATATTATAAAGATAAAAAAGTGTAAGTTAACCTTAATTTTAACTATAATGTATGAAAAATTGTTGTAAATATTATAAAAAAAACTAGCAAATTTAAGTTATTGTTATTACTTTTTGAGATTCATGGAAAACAAATAAATAAATCTTGTAAGGAAAGGCAAGGGAAATAAAAAAGAGAAAACTCGTGCGAGTATTATTTTTTTATGTGAAATCTTGACTTTAAATTTGAGTATCTCAAAAATCTTCATCACAATAAATATTTACAGATTTATTGCTGAAAAGGGAAAATTCTATATCAAAATCATATTTCTATACTGAAAAAGGGAAATTAATTAAAATTAGACTATTCCATGAATTTAATAGGGTAATTAATTTGAACTTTATATCAATTTGATTAAATTTTGATGATATATAAGATAAAATTGAATACGGCAATTGAAATATATAATATATCATCTTTAATATTATTTATAGTTAAATATTTAAATAACTATATAAAGAAAAAAAAAAGATATATTTTGAGTTTGTTTGTTTAAATTTTCTTGAAAAAAACTTATTTTGATAAAATAAGCAATTTTATATATTTTTTAAATATTTTTGTTTAAAATATTTATTTTATAAATAAATAGCTGAGTTTTTTTTAAAGAGCAAATTCTAATTTTTTTTTTAAAAAAAATTCTTTATAATTATTTTTTTAATGTTTAAACAGGCAAACCCTCTATATCCTCTCTATATATATATATATTATCAATAATTAATCATTATTTTCAATAGTATAATTAAAATATATATATATATATAATCAATCTTACTGAGTTGGATGAAAATAAATTAATAAGATCATACAAGTTATAATTAAAGACTCTTAATCAATTACATTAAATATATTATTAATAATTAAATTAAAAATTCTTATCAACGTCAATGTTAAATTAGTCATTAATATTTAGTGTTAAGTTTATGTTTTTTCAATTAATGTTTAGTCTTTCCCACGAGTTTCGAAGCAAGAGCATTCGATTGTAGTGTATCATTATTCTTCTTATCTTTATTCAGCGATGCATTCTAATTTTCCTCCCCCACCCCCTTCTCTTCAAATAGTCCTCATCCAAAGCATTTTTAAAAGAAAAATATAAAAAAAAAATTATGCATAAATTTTGGAAAAAAAAAATAGAACAATTTTTTTTTGTAATATAAAATAAGTAATTTGATAGAAAAAAAAAAATATAACTAGTATAACTCTTTCCCATATCGGAA